GGAGCTTCTGCCTGCTAGTAAGAAGGTAAGGAGACAAGTGGACCAGCGAGTGCTAGGGGACAGTCCTTAGAAAGCGTTGAGCGAGCGCATCATTAGATGCATTTATGCCAAGCTCAGGGTGCTGTCTGCATAGTATGCCCTTAGTTGGCCAGCTGCATGATTGGCAGGCAGCCTGACATGCATTCATACCAGGCTGGCCTTCTAATTTTTTGGGCAGACATGTCCTCTTTTTGGGCATGTTCGCCCCTTTTGGCAGATTACGTGATTTGTGTCAGTGGCACACCCTTTTACCGTGCTCATTGACTTCCTGCTTGACTGGACACTGCTGTTAGGGGTTATGGATTTACTTGAAAGATGAAAACATAAATTAGAGAGAGATTAGCCTAGGGTATGTGTTTTCTTATAGCTGCTGTTTTCTTTCTCTCCAGCACCATCTCCATCAGATACATGATGCTTGGGAGTGTTTTACTGTTTTTGGTCGATATGATTCTGTAATTAGGCCCGTCATAATTGTCAGCACCAGGCCCACTGGGCTCTTAATCTGGCCCTGGATATATTGCTGATAGTATAGCTGGATAGTCCAGAGATAGTTACTATATTCTCCTAAAAGGTAATCTGTGAAGATGTCGTGCTATAAAGTGTGATAGTATCTGATGGACAGAGGAGGGTGACATAAACAAAAGGTATTTTTGAATCTGAACGTTTGACAGATAGTGAGTTTGGATAACGGATGAAAGCGTTGTCGAGTAGAGCAGTGGCCTAACGAGGCAAGGCGAGGCGGTAAAGCCCCCGTATCCTGATGACCCCATTATGGATGAAGCGTGGCCTTGTAGAGGCAATTAGTAGAGCGAAAAGGTTTTTTTTTTTTTTTTTTTTTACCTGATAGAAACAGGAGACAATAATGAACCAATAACCCGGCTTATGGTAGAATGACCTTCTGGAAAACTGAAACTGAGGGGTAGCATGTCAAACAAGGAAAGGATATCTTTAAATTAACATTTAAGACCTGATATTAATCCCTCTCTTTTACTTGTGACATAGCATTATTGTACAATTGCTAAGTTCAATATAATGGATAATTAAGAACAGTGACTTAGCATTCTGACATAAGCACTTCTAATTATAATTAGCTGAGATCCCCCCCCTGAACAGTAGACAGGTGTATATTTATTGGGTGGTACAATTGAAACATATCTACAGTATTTGGTGGTCAAAGGTCTGGCAATAACTTCTAAATTCTAAAATTACACTGTATACTACCATTACCTAAGCGAAAGCATAGTACAGTGCACGAATTGTTAAATGAATAAATCTGGTATAGCAGGTCTGAAAGTCATTCGTTTGTTTGTTCGGATGGATATTGAAACATATATCAAATCGTATATATGCGAACGGCGGGAATAGCCCGAACGCGGCTATTCTCGACGATTACCTGGTCGTTCGTGTGTTTGCGTGAAGGAGCTGAAATTGGTTTGACTGAATTTTTTCCCGAACATAGGTTGGAAACAGGAAGTGCGGGCTGAGTCGCAAGCAGACCAGGAGTGAACAGCAACATCACGGCGAAGGTAAGAAGGGGGAGTAGCATTTTATAGGAACGCTAACACCTCCCACAAATACAGGCCTGCGGCCTTAAAGATATAATATAAATAAAAAAAAGAAAAACATTTTGTTTATTTATATATATATATATATATATATATATATGCACACACATTCTACATATATGTTTAACTATTAACTACAGTAATTCCCCCAAAATTTGCGGGAGATACGTTCCAAGACCCCCCTGTGAATTTTGAAAATGCGCAAATTTGGAACGGACAATAATATTACTGTCTGGGAGAAAAAATAACTTTAATAGGGGGGGTGAAATCTTTATAATGGAATCATTAGTAGTGAGATAAAGATTCCACCCCCTCCCTCATTCCATGCACTTACCCAGTCCTGGGAGCTCCTCTCTCTTTCCTTTCGGCTGCCGTCTGCAAAGAGCGCTGGGAGGAAGCGACGTCATTGCGTGTGACCTCACTTCCTCGCAGCGGTCATAAAAAAAATCTACCTATTACATCTACTGGACCCGATGAAAAAAATATGCGAATTCATAAAGCGGCAGATTCAGAAGCCAGTCCAGAGAATTTAATTGGCAAGCCCTATAATTAAACACATAACCTTTCAAAGCACCATAAAATCTTTACATGGGGGGTATTGTTATACCTGGGAGAATTCGCTGAACATAAATATGAGTGTTTTAAAAAGTAGAACTTATCACGATGATGATATCACCAGTAAAAGTGCAGTTTTTCTTTTAAAAAAATGCAAAAAACAAATAAAAATGCTCACTTTGGCCAGCGTTTGTCACTAAGTGGCTACTACAAAAGATGGACATACCCCATTTTGAATACCCTGGTGTAATGGACTGTTTTGCACACAAGAGGTAAAAACCGTTTAGGCGATCGTCCCCTTTCAGAGATGCAGGCACAGCTACTGTAGAACACCAAACTCACGAACCGCCAATAAGAGAATGCTCCAAACTCCCGAACGGCATCCAATATAGCACTCCAAACACACGAACTGGAACCATACGAATCACTGCTAGCAGACGAATAGGAAAAGCATCCAAGCGGCTTACACTCCTAGCAATCAGTCTCTATCCGCATTCAGTAAATCCCCCCAAAGACGAGACAAGGCTCCGTGTTGAGGGTCAAGCAGTGGTCTGTTTAATGAGGGCTACCTGCCCAGTATTTATGCAGGTCTCCCACCTGGTGGACACTCCCCTAGGGGACCAAATGGGAGACTGTGACAAAAGACAGACAAGTAGCCAAATAGGACACACAGTCACATTATATTCCCACAATGTATCCTGGCTTCCTCCCCTCTGCCTTGGAGATAATTGAGTAGTAATTCAATTATCTCCCAAGACAAAGGCAAATCGCCATTATGCACGTGGGTATACTAAAACATGAATTACTATTAAAATACACAGTATGACACAAGTTACAATAAAACTATACATTTAACATGTCCCCAGATAGCTCAGGTCTGAGCGCACATTATTAAGCGAATGGCTCTCAGACTAAACGAATACAGTGTAATCGCCATGGAGCCAAAGTCTTTACACAGTCAGTTCTCATGCGAATGGGCTCCATGGGATTCCTATCTGGGGTATAACATAGTCAAGTCAAATTACCGAACACCGGGCCGTTTGTGCACTCCCGCCGAACAAGAAGGGAGGTCGGCGGCTTCAGCGGTGTTCGTGCCAAACTGTGTCCGTTTTTAGTTCCATGAGTTAGGCGTCGAACACCGCTGTGCATTCGCATGTTTAAAATGGCCGTGACCTCGTGTTCAGTATACGAATGGCGGCCACCCAGCATTCGTCAATTAAGCTGCGGTTAACCGCAGCTTCAGGGAGGCTAATTGCCGGCACACTCCAGCTCCCAGGTGGTCTAGTCATTCGTGCGGTTGTTCGGTAGATTGAATCTATCGAACACCAGGCAGAAAATCACGAATAAGTCTTTTCTGCAGGGAAAAAGATGTCTTTTAACATGGGGCCATAGTCCAAAGACAGAAGGCGAGCAACCAGGCTTCTTCAATGCAATGTGGCGAGATTGCTCTCGTCACACCTGGGTTGTCTACATTTGGAAATGTTATGCCATGATAAGGTTAATTCACATTTCTGGGCTACCATATGGTCCCACAAGGCAACATAGACCCAGCAAACCAATCTGGCAAACTGAATTGGGTAAGCCCTATATTGATCCTGTAACTTTCCAAAACACCATAAAACCTGTATATGGGGGGTATTGTTATACTCGAGAGACTTCGCTGAACACAAATATGAGTGTTTAAAACAGTAAAACTTATCATAATGATGAAATCACCAGTAAAAGTGCAGTTTTTGTGTAAAAAAAACGAAAAAAAACAAATATGAGCTAAATTTGGCAAGCATTTGTGGCTAAGTGGCTACTACAAAAGACTGGACATTTTGAATACCCTGGGTTGTCTACGTTTTCAAATGGTATGTCATGGTGGGGTTAATTTTCATTTCTGGGCTGCCATACCTTCTAAAAGGCAACATAGCCAATCTGACAAATTTCAATTTCCAAAAACAGAAATTTGCAATAAAAACTAATATAAACGCTAATTTTGGCCAGATTGGTTTGACAAAGACTGGTGGTAGAATTAGTGCATGGAAAGTGTTAAAATACCAACATTTGAAATACTCTAGGGCAGGCTTCCTCAAACTCCAGCCCTCCAGATGTTGCTGAACTACAACTCCCATGATTCTATGAATGAAATAGATAGGCTGAGAATAATGGGAGTTGTAGTTCAGTAACATCTGGAGGGCCAGAGTTTGGGGAAGCCTGCCCTACGGTGTCTACTTTTAAAATATATATGGTTTGATGGGGGTAAATTACATTGGCCGGCTTCAAAAATATCCCAAATAGGACATGGGTGCATGATGATAAGCTGTGAAAATACCAAGTTGGAAAACTGGAATGCACGCCCTCAAAATAGGTTTTTGTAGCCCCCAGAGAACCCGACACACCTATACATGGGGGTATCACTGTACTCGGGAGATGCTGCTGAACACATATTGGGGTGTTCTTTGGCAGTAACCCTTAAAGTTCTCAGTACATGTATTCTTAAATTGCTATGTGTGTCAAAAAAAATCACCAATTATTATTATTATTATTTTAATTTAGCATAGATTGGTGGTAAAATGATTGCATGACAAGAGTCAAAATACCCCAAGTTTAATACGTTAGGTTGTCGTCTTTTTCTAAATATATACATGTGAAGGGTTATTCAGAGATTCCTGACAGATATTAGTGTTACAATGTAATGTTTGTTAATTTTGAAAAAAATAACAATTTGGAAATAGCCATCTTAGCAGCATTACAGGCCCCAGGGCGAAGCAGTGCAATGGTGCCCTACTTACCCAGCCACTCACAGAAATAAAAATGTACTAATCGATAAAATTAATCTTATATTTATGAGTACCTCTAACAAATGCAATACATACAATACATACACACAGACTGCTGAATACATTCACTGACTGCTGAATACACACACAGCTAAATACATTCACAAACTGCTGTTTCTGCAAAGCGTCACATATTCAGTTCAGTGCTAAACAGACAAGGACATGGCACACGGACCACTTCATTGAGAGGAAGTGGCCTGGATGTCTATAGAGTCACTTTAAATTTTGAAATTCACTGTGTGTTACCATGTATAAGAAGACTGAATGCTCTTAAGTCAGAGAAGAAAGGTAATTTTGCATTCCTCTCCTGCGGGTCACTTCATGTAGCGTGGTTGAGCTCTGCCAGGAACTCTTTCTCCTCTGGTTACTTCTACAGGCAGAGTGGAGGGGGCAAGGATAGGAATCACATCGTATTCCTGCTCCCTGTGTAACGCACTGCAGCTTCTGGGCATTTTACAGGGCCGGAGAGCATGCTTCCAACGGACCCGATTGCACAGGACTGAGATGTAAGTATGTAATTGTGACTGCATGTATGACTGACTGTCTGCATTTCTCTGTATGACTGTGTCTGCATTTTTCTTTGTCTGTATGACTGCGTCCATGTCTCTGAATGCCTTTTTGTGTGTCACTGTATGACTGCAACTCTGTATGTCTCTGTGTGATTGTATGTCTGTGTTTGTATGACAGTGTACCTGTACCTTTTATGTATCTTTGTCACTGTGTTTCTGAATAACTATGTCCGTGTGCCTGTACGGTTGTGTGACTGTATGTTTGCCTGTACAGTTATGTCTATATGGCTTGGGAGGAAAGAAACATACAAAGGGACAGATACACAATATTGGCTGAGGGGGAGAAAGAGCCACACAGAGGGGCAGAGGGGAGTAAGAGGCACACAAGGGGTGTAAGACACACAAAATAATAAATTACACACAAAGTGTCAAACGGGTAAGATATTCAAAAGAGGGCATGTGAAATACTCAAGGGGAAGAAATTCAAAAGCAGTGTTACGAGCAACACAGGTGAAGATGCATTGGGTGGGGAATGCATCTTTGCCTATGTAGCCAAAAATCTTTGCACCAGCCCGGAGTATAAAGATGTGTACCTCTCTGTCCAAAGAAATAGCTTTATTATACATACTTGATATTTTTAAAAAGTCCTAGGTGCGTGCATTTTTTTTTACAAGTATTGAAGGATATAATTAGAGAGTTTGTTGTTCTTAATAGAAATCTGATAACTATTATGTAGTCAAGAAAAAAAAAGCATACTTTTGCCTACTAATAGCTTGCTAGACCCTGCTGGAGCCTCCTGTATGTAAAGTTCAATTTACAGAGCAGGAGATAAAAAAAAAAGGTACCCACGAGCCCAACGACCTGACCGGGACTGGAGAGTCTACAACCTAAGCAGTCCTAAACAACCGGTCGGCACTGACAGAAGCCAGTGAAAGTGTTCTCTCATCTTTTTTATATTACCTGTTGTGAAAAGTTTTTTTTTTGGGGGCTCTAGCACAGCTTCCGCAACGCCAGAACACTCAGAGAACCTCTCTTTCGGATTATTATTATCCATTTACTAGCCCAGCACCATTGGGAACAAGTGAAGAGAAGGGGTGCAGTCTGTTTATAGTATATTTATTACTTTGTATCATCCTGTCTCTATATACACTAGGACAGCCTGCCTTCGGATTTCCACTCTCTACCTATATCCATAGATTTGGAGGCAATATCAATTAAGGTAAATTTAGTACTAATTCTGGCCATTGAGGAGGAGCGAAGTTAGTGTTCTGTGTTTTTTTTAGTAAGGATCAAATAAAGACATATGTCCATAACTTTATTTTTCCACAAGGGCACTAGTTAACACAATCAAATGTTGTTGATATTCCCCCACTGACTTACATACCATAACTACAAAGAGTCCTTAGATACCATTCCATTAGCGTTGTCTATTTACGGTTTTGCCAGCTTTAGATCTCCTTATCTTTGGAGGTCATTTCTATTTTTCAGTTTTTTAATCTATTAGGGTATAAGCCCTGGGTGGAGCTGGCACCACCACTTGCCACTGTTTTTACTTCTCATACTTCATTTTCCATCTCTGAATTTGACTGGTTAAACAAGGTTATTTATTTTTTATTTGTTACCATTTTGTTTTCATGCAGGCTGCGTCAGTCACAGCCAGAGGGAGGTTGGCTAGGGTTGCATGGACAGAAACAAAAGTGATTTGACTCCTAAATGGCAGTGAAATGAGCATAAACTTCAGAGACATAATCTATACACTAACACTGCTTTATTAAGCTAAACTTGTTTTGGTGACCACTGTCCCTTTAATATCAAGGTCCAGGACACCATGTAAAAATGTAAATTTAAATATTAAGAATTTGGCAACAAAAGTGGTAGGCTAAAGGCCAGAGCACTTGGAGAACAAAGGCTTATGTGGAAAAGATTAAATTGCCTTCGGGACAATTGGTCCACACTACTGATGTTATAGCAGAGACCTTTTCTAACCATTTCTCTATATTTGATAATATCCCTAACCCGATCTCTGAGGCCGACTTACATGACAGTATCTGGCAACATCTGTCCGAACACATCCATAGAATCTTTATGAAATTCTAACGAGATATACATGTGCAAGAGTTACATAGTTACATAGCTGAAAAGAGACTTGCATCCATCAAGTTCAGCCTTCCTCACATTTGTTTTTTTGCTGTTGATCCAAAAGAAGGCAAAAAAAACCCCAGTTTGAGGCACTTCCAATTTTGCAACAAACGGGGAAAAAAAAAAATCCTTCTTGACCCCAGAATGGCAGTCAGATTTATCCTTGGATCAAGCAGTTATTACCCTACATTGAAAGATTATATCCTTGAATATTCTGTTTTTGCAAGTATGCATCTAGTAAAGAGTAAAGCAGTGAAGTCGGCTCCAGGTGCTGCAGAAGAAGATAGTCGCATTCGGAGTATAGTAATGGAGCCCCCCATGCCATTTTGTGATGTGACACTTGTACCATTCTACTACTGTATGAAAAAAAAAAATCACCTTACTATTTGTGGCTGAATATACAGCTTCAAATATGCATTATCTGATCCACATAAAGACTTAATTAGAATTAAAAAAAAATATATATATATTTAATTTGTGAAAAATATTTATTAAGGGTAGGACATCAATTGTAAACACTACAGTTTTTAAACATGACATTGACATAAGATAGACTTCTGTTACTCAATATAAAGACCTTTTTTATTTCTCTAAACTGACCTAATTATGAACTATATTACCTTTTTCTTTCTTGTCCATTTGTAGTGAATTTATGAAGTGGAATGGAACTAATTTACTAATACTTTGTACTGTATTATCTGCTCTGTCTTGCTCTATGATTAGTGGGACACTAAGCATCATAACCTCTACAGCTTGTTGTTGTGATTATGGTGAAAAAAAAAAAAAAAAGAGAGTCTTTGGGACCTTGTGGTTTTTGTCAAACGATTTAAGAGGTTTGACAAAATAATGGGGTTTCTCCCAGCATCTAAATCCCAGCGCCTTTGCAGCAGGAATTTTTCTGCATTATCCATACAAATCCAGATAACACTTGGACAAATATGACAGACTATCATTGACAACCAAAAAGGATTTATACAGACAGCAGTGAGGAAATCAAATTCCATATCACTGTGGTCAAACAGATCTGGGGTGCTAGAAAATCACTTGAAACAACTGAAGCTGTAGTGTTTGTGCTTACAGAGCCCATTTAATATGAAGTACTAGAGGTGCAATAAAGCTTTCCAATAGTTGTTCAAACCCTCTGGCACTCCATTGATTAACTTGCAAAACAGTAAAATACAGACTGAGATTCACGGAATGAAAGATTTTTTAAAAATCAAATACTCAGCCACTTAATAAATGTACAGCATTTATTTAAAAAAAACAAACCCTCCTATACGTACACACTATAGCTATGCTCCTTTGACAACACCAACTAAGGCAGGTCTCAATGTACGCTCATGGAGTTTGTACCCCACTTTAGTGACTAATGCTACAGTTCCAGGCTCCTTTCCTTCCATGGGAGCGTGAAACAAGGCCTCATGTTCATATGGATCAAACTTGGCATTCACAGGATTTAGCTTGGTCACTCCATGCTTTTTAAACACTTTCTGCATCTGTACTTCAGTCATAACAAGCCCTTCATATAGGTTCTTTAGGTGAGGATTATCATCTTTTATCTCTTCTTTAGGGACACTCTCCGTTGCCTTTTCCAGGACGTCAGCGACTTCAAGAAGGTCTTTGCAGAATCCCTGAATACCTTAGAGAGAATTAAACAAAATCATTATTACAGTAAAGCCTAAAAGAACCAGCTAATGCTGCTGCTCTAACCATAAAATATTGGGAAAATATTAACCCCTTAAGGACGGAGCCAAATGTACACGTGAACAAAACAAAATGTAAACAAAACCTGGCATTTGCGCTACATGTCTGTCCATCCGTAATACACCTCTTTCATAGTAAATGCACCCACCCTTATTATATATCATTTTATTCAGGGGAAACAGGGCTTTCATTTAATATCAAATATTTAGCTATGAAACAATTTAATATGAAAAAATGGGAGAAAATACGATTTTTTTTTATTTTTTAGTTCTACATGACATGTTAACGGTCAATGTCATAATACTGTTTGCTTTTACTGCAATAAAATAAATACACATATTTGTATTCAGTAGAGTCTCACGTGTAAGACAGTACCCCCTATGTACAGGTTTTATGGCGTTTTGGGAAGTTACAGGGTCAAATATAGCACGTTACATTTGAAATTGAAATTCGCCAGATTGGTTACGTTGCCTTTGAGACTGTAGAGTAGCCCGGGAATGAAATTTACACGCATAATGGCATACCATTTGCAATAGTAGACAACCCAATGTATTGCAAATGGGGTATGTCCAGTCTTTTTTAGTAGCCATTTGGTCAAACACTGGCCAAAGTTAGCGTTAGTATTTGTTTGTGTGTGAAAAATGCAAAAAAACGCCAATTTTGGCCAGTGTTTGTGACTAAGTGGCTACTAAAAAAGACTGGACATACCCTGTTTGCAATACCTTGGGTTGTCTACTACTGCAAATGGTATGCCATCATAGGGTAATTTTCATTCTTGGGCTACCATAGGGTCTCAAAGGCAACGTAA